GATTCATCCCCGCCTGTCTGCAAGATGAGGCAGGTTCATCGAGCTCTCCGCAGAGCCACACAGCACATTAGCAGCAGGCTCGTGTCTAATAATAATACTCTGCCAGCAATTAAAAATATAACTCCATTTAAGGGTGAGATACACAGCTTGGGGTAAAGACTGTAGGATGTGAAAAATGACACCAGTGGGTATTTTAAGACAAAACAGCTGAAGGTACAAGCATGGCACGGCTTGCTCCCCCGCGCCGCTTCCAGCCCCTCGGAGGGCCAGGGCAAGGCCCCTGACCTCGCCGCCTCTTGGGAGCAGCAGCCTCCGAAGGCACTGCAGAGGTTTGCCCCACCTTTGGTTTGGGGCCAAATGGGCAGGTTTTGGGGCCGGGAGGCTGGGAGTGCAGGCAGGCTGGGATGTGCAGTGTTGGGCAGAGTTCCCGGTGTCCCACCCTGCACCCAGGTCTCACGGACAGCCACCCGTACCTGGGCACACGTGGGGAACGGGGGAGCTCAGGAGGTTTCTAGGGATGCTCCGGAGCAGATTCAGCAGCCAATGAAGCAAAACAAAATCCAGTTGTCATTTCCATGACTTTGAGCTTGACTTCTGGCATCACCCAGGCCTGTTTGAGCTCACCCGTGGGAAGGCAGGGAGAGTTTTATCATATAAAATAGATCAGAGAGAGACAATAGACAGATAATACTGCCTGTGCCAGAACCCCCTTAGAAAAATGAAGAGCTAATGAAAGAGGAATATACTTCAAGACAAAAAAGGACTTGCACACAGCCCAAGACTAGTTCAGGCTCCTCGCCAACCTAACTTCAGTGTGACAGCTGAGATAGATAGATAGTGTCTTAGAAAGTGAAAAACAGTTCTGACCGGAATTGTCAGAGCAGGATCTCCAAGTCAAACAGCCTGAATATGGCCTGGTTCCTTTCCCTGCCACAAGCAACCTTCACTCTCCCTGTAAAGCTTTTACCATATTCAGATGTACCAGCCAGTTGCCAAGACTTTCGTGCAAAAAAACAAACATATTCTCTAGCTGGGGTGGCCGGGACATGTACAATGCAGCAGGCATGTTTATATACTGTACTGAGACTGTGTCTGTGTATTCTGTGTTTCAGCATAATGCCTCACTATACCAACTACTGATTTTCAGGGACTGTATACACTGCCATTATTTACAACAAGCCGATGGCCGCAGCAGGCCGGGTAGCATAGCCCACGCGGTCGGCTGGAGGGGATCAGCAGCCCCCGCTGCCAACACCTCCTGCAGCAACAACAGCTCCCTAATGTCTTTGTGCTGTTGCTGCAGACACGGCAGCAGAAAATAGAGCGGCTCCATCCCATTCACGTGCCATAACTATTTTTACAAGCGCTGGCAGCATGCACTGTCCTTCAGCTTACATTTGCCTGCATGCTCGTTAAAAAAGCGGGGGCAAATTCAACCAGGGAAAGGGACATGGGGATTTCCAGCGAGTCTGGTGTGACCCTGGGTCCAGCAGTGCCAAGAAAAACAGAAGCACTCATGAAAATGTGGAAATGAAGCCCAGTCTAAAGCATTTACAAAGCTAAGAAGTAGTTAATGAGCAGTAAGTAGCGGGTTGCTGGTAATTTTGCAGCTTCTTTGTCGGAGACTTGGCAACCTGCTGTGTTTTATAAGTGGCTAAATGACAGAAAATGGTTCAGTTTCTGCCGGCCACCGGAGCGTGCCTGTGGTTTGTATCCTATGATGAGGGGCGAGGGGTTCCCGGCAGGGCCACAGCTGAGTCCACCTGCAGATATGGGGAACAGCAGTGCTGGAGCAGTCCTGGCACTGGCATGGTTTTGGCATCCTTTCATCCTGGGAAATGACAATTTCAAGATCATCATGAGAGTCAACTAGTGCTAGCTTGATTTTGGGAGCAGGTAATACCTGCAGCTTTGCTGTGGTTTCCTTTGAGCTAGTAGTATTGACCACAGCATGCAGAAAGGTCAGCAGGACCCTGTGCTGGCCTAAACCAGCTATTCCCGTTTTCCTCTCTTCCTGCAAACTCATCTTATTTGTGAACAACTGAAATTTAATTTCAAAGCAACTGTGAACACTGATAAACTCAACAAGCCAGACGCCGTAAGAAAGCAGTTCTCTCATGAGACGTTCCCACCCAGTGCAACCTTTCTGAAGCACAGATTTGTATCCTCAGCTCTCTCCCTGCAGGCAAGGATGTACTTTACTTACAGCACAGGACTGGCTAAGAGCTCGCTATCCCCCTGCTCTTCTAAGCACGACCGAGCCATGTAAACGTCAGGAAGCCACCTGGGAGCCCTTTCATTTCCATCCCTGCCCATAATTACTTTCATCTCTGCTCCCAGTTTTGAGCTTGCTGGCAGCTGCAGCTCACTCAGAGACAGAAGGGAATACAGATCTTGGAAGAAAAAATCAAAACACCCAGAACTGCGAAATGTAAATCAAAAGCAAGGGTCACACATACTCCCCAGGCTTTTAAGAGCCCCTCCTGATGCAGCTTGCATCATCTCATCACTGTCGACATTTAGATCTTTGAAACGTTGCAAGCACCTTTCCAGGAATGACATGGAATGAGTAACTTCAGACCCAGAACCAACGTTTCTGCTGGGAAGGTTCCGCTCTTGAACACAATTTGGCTTCAGAGAGCAGTGGGTCACTTGCTCAGCGCCTCTCCTCACCAGGCCCCGTGCCACGTCTGTCCCCTCCTGGCCACAGACTCAAGCTGCTCCCCTGAACACCACCGGCAGTGGCTTCGTCTCTCCCGCCTGCCCTCTCCCCAGGCTGACACTGGACATCCCCGAGTTGTCTATATATAAGGCAAGGGCATTCAAAGAAGAGCCTGTCTTAATCCCACAGGAGAGTTCAGCA